CCTCCTTCAATTTTATACAAGTAATACTAATTCATTAAGAGACAGAGCCAGGTTGCTATCCATATAATGTCAAATCTGCTAGGTGTAATGAACACAGGTAGTGAATGATTCCTTTTAGTGCTCATCTTTTGACAGCACATAGCACATTGCCTGGCCTGATAAACATCAAGCAAATTATATGTGCCAACCACTGTGCCAACACTGTTTTTGTTTTTCAGGAAAAACATGATTTCTGTGCTCAGGTCATTCACAATCTGGTTGAAGAGATGGATATTGAATAAATAAAATATATAGTTTAGAATTTTTGAAGGGTGTGAAAAAGAAAAAGTTCTAAACAAGACATGATTATACCAGGAATAAATCAGGGGCCTTAATTTAAATCAGCAATCAGAGAGCTCTTCACCAAGAAAATGACATTTGTAACTGAGCCCTGAGGGATAAGTTGAGGTGGGCCAAGAAAGGAGCAGGTGGTCAGCCTTCCATATAGAGCATGGGCAAATGCCTGGGAACAGGGAATAATTTAGTGTATCCGAGGAACTGGGTGAAAGCTACTGGTGTTGAAGTGCATTGGAAGGATGGCACGAGATAAGGTCCAAGAGTAGGCAGTAAGAAGTATAAAGTCTATAATGGAAAAGAACAAAAGAAAAGCAGAGGATGATAGCCATCTAATTTACATTCTTTAAAAGAATTCTCTGGATGCTGTATGGAGAATGGGTTCGAAAAAGACAAGATTACCTATATGGGAAATCTATGGCAGAGACCTAGAGGAAAGAAAATGGTGGCTTGTTCTAGAATGGTATCAGTAGTGTTGGAAGTAATTGTATGGAATCAAGAAATCTCTTGGAAATGAAATCTAAGAGGACTTTGAGAGATGTATTGATGTTGGGCAGAGAAGAAGCCAAGTTTAATGGTCACATGTGTAACCAACAAATGATAGATGGTAGTGCTATTTATGAGGAAGTATTGAGAACAGTTTGGCAGAGGTGATGAGGGAAAAAAATTAGTTTTCTATGCCAATGAGACATTCTGAAGAATATATAAAGTAAACTTTAATTAGAGACAGACTATAGCAGTCAGAAGTCAAGTATGAATCTGAGTTGTCACCATATTGATAGTACTTAAAGCCATGGTAAATGAGATATTCCCAGCAAGATGATAGAGAAAAAAGGAAAAGGCTGAGAATAAAGCTGGATGAGGGGATGTCAAAAATAAAATAAAATGAATTAAGAGGAAGAACAACAGATGAGTGCAAAATGAGAAAAGCTAACAAGAAAGGAATATTGACAAAGAGTACTGAATTCTCCTGAAAAAGGTTTTTAAAAAAATTTTTTTTCAACGTTTATTTATTTTTGGGACAGAGAGAGACAGAGCATGAACGGGGGAGGGGCAGAGAGAGAGGGAGACACAGAATCGGAAGCAGGCTCCAGGCTCTGAGCCATCAGCCCAGAGCCCGACGCGGGGCTCGAACTCACGGACCGCGAGATCGTGACCTGGCTGAAGTCGGACGCTCAACCGACTGCGCCACCCAGGCGCCCCTGAAAAAGGTTTTTAAAAATGAGAATTTAAATTGCTCATTAGATTTATTAGTTATGGATTGGTGCGTTTGATGAATGACAAAGTAATTTTGGTGGAGAGATGCATCATAAAAAATCTTGGAGCAGGTGGAAAAGGAACGGCATACAAGAAAAATAAAGACAACAGATGCAGACAACTCTTTCTAGAAACTTTACAGTAGAAGAAGGAAGAGAAACAGGGCTAGGGTGCAAGGAGAGACAGATTTGGAGTAAAAGGAAATAGCAACCATCAGGGAATCTACGTAAATGTGAGATTCAGTGTAAGCTGGTATTTGTCTTAGCCTAGGTTCTCTAAAACACGTCTGAGGAAGAACTTATATGCAAGTAATTTATTTTTATACCTAAACCCAAGGAAAGAGATTGGATGACTAAGGAGAACAAAATAAAGAAGGAAAGCCAACTTAGGAATGTATTATCAGCTCATCACCACCAGAAAATTGGGGTTCAGTCATGTTAGAGTCCCTCCTAAGTGTCATTTAGAATATATTCAGAATTCTTCACCCAAATAATAGAAGACAGGAGTCTAACACTAGTCAAAAGTTGCCCTATGGGGTACCAACTCCCTTGCACTTCCCAATTTGCACACGTCTCTGAATGGTAGAACAGATCCCTTTAGGTGTCCCACTCAGAGGTGGCAAAGAAGCCCAGGGCAGAAAATGAGACAATCAGTATAGCTGCAACCAATATCTGTCAAGTTAAGTCTGTATGTACTTAGTTGCTATGGTAACAGCTAGAGTAAAAGATGGACCGAGAGAATGAAGCAGAGTATAGAGGTGTCTGATAGAATGTCTACCTGGATATTCACACACTCCACATCCTTTCCAGTCTCAAGAGAGGAGATGGGTTGTGTATAGTTCATGACAGAGTTGGCCCATAGGTTCTACCAATTCTTGGCCTGCAGTCTTCCCTGGCTCTGTTTCAGATTAATTACTCCAGGTAGCAATGATGGCAGACAAGTTAAGTGAGTAAGAATTTTTATATATTCCCAGTGACAGATTCAAGAAATGTTTTAGAAACATCAGCCAATTAACTCAATATTTTATGAGCACATACTACATTCCAAATCTGCACACAGTTGTATAGACTGTCAGAGGATATTAAATATGGTCCTTACTTTGATATCTCATTAAGGGCATATGTCATAGATACATGAGAAGAGATCTAAAAATGGTAGATGGCCGGATATGATTAATTTAAAATGTGGAATAGGGCTGTGTCAAGTTAGTAGATACTTACTTGTGGCAATGTTTCTGTTAGAATGAGTATAATCTCAGATTGTGGAAAGCAACTGTGAAAGCCATTTGTTTTTGTAGAAACATCAAGCTCTCAATGTTGGCAGAAATTCTCTCTGGGTGGTCAAACTAGAGGTGATTTTTTACTTTCTTCTCTAAATGTTACCATATTTTCCATAATTCCCACACTCAACATTTATTACTTTTATATTCTAAGAATTTTTTTAACATAACCAAAGGATGTGGGACAACTACAACTCTCATACACTGCTGATGGCAACGCATAATGGTAGTCACTTTGAAAAACAGTTCAGCAGATTCTAATAAAGTTAAACATACACTTACCATGCGACTCAGCAATTCTACTCCTAGGTATTTATCCAAAAGAAAGAAAAATGTTCTTTCTCTCGCTCTCTTTCACATGAAATGCGTACATGCCTACACACAAACACCACCACCACCACCAATGTTTAAAGCAGCTTTTTAATTATCACAAAAACTGGAAACAATCTGTATGTCCTTCAACTTATAAATGGATAAACTTTGATACACCCTTACAATGGAATACTACTCAGCAATAAAAAACAATGAACTATTGATAAATACAACATGATGGAAGAATATCAAATGCATTATACTGGATGAAAGAAGCCAGATTCAAAAAGTTGCATAATATATAATTGCACTCATATAACATTTTGGAAGAGGCAAAATCATAGGAACAGAAACTGATCAAAACAAAGGAGTACCCATCAAGGGCTGTTGAAGTAATCAGCAGAACTGACCAAGATGGAGCCTCCATCAATCAATAAGAATGAGGAGGGAACAAAACACCTGAGAACCATTAGAGAACCCATAGCAGAATTCACTGACTCTCTGAGTTTAGAAGCAAAGAACAAGATACCAAAGTCTAGCATCATAAACCCAAAAGGACACATGATCCTTCACGATGACTGTACCAGTGAAGATTCTTTACATTGCAAATGACCAAGACCAACTCTAGTTGGTCAGCCAAACATAGAAAAGAAAAATGGTAGTGAGGAGGTATTAGAAGGATTCAGAGCAACTCACAAGAAAGAAGGAAATGCTGAACAAGAAGGTGTCAAACAACTCTCATGTGTCACTTCAAAATGTTTACCACTGCTGTGGCAGCCATTCCATTCACATTCAACCAGCTTAATGAAGGTGCAAATGGACTGCACCTAGCTTAGCCTTGTATACCTCTCATTTCCTGTCCTAGGTCTTCTGTCCTGGCAGGAACCCACTAGACACTAGGGCATGCAAGTCAGAGGTGGGGAGTTAACACCATGGAGACACATCTGACCAAAACAAAATAATAGTCCATAAATAAATGCTTACCCTTCTCCCCAGTTCAGAGCAACAGCTCTCAGATCCATTTTGAAAATCTAAATCAAGTCCTTGGCATAAAGGACCAGTAACCAGTAGCGGTGGCCAACTCAACAACTTATCTTTGTATTGATTATCTTTCTTCCCTGTTTCATTACTGCTGCCACAAACTCTTTGAGCTCATTATCAAATATACTACCTATAGCCCAGGCTTCTCAAGACTTGCTTCCTGGGGAACCCAGGCTAACACAAGCAGGCCTTGGGAAGGATCCTTTATAGTTCTGGACATTTCAGCTACAGAAATTTATGGTTTATCTCTTAAGGGTGATGGCACCAGCGGACTCAGCTCTCATCAACTTCCAAACACTTCCCAGGAGACAGTCTGATTGACACAGTTTAGGTTACATGCATACTCCATCAAAGGGCACAGAACCTCATGTTCTAATCTCAACAGAATTATTTGGACTGGGGTCAGCTCTCCAAAGAATATGTGAAGGTGGGAAACAAAGGGTGATTTAGGAACATTTTGTTATCTAGTTACAAGTTGCTTTTTGATCATGTTAACTTATCTTAAAAAAAAAAAAAAAGAGCATTGTGCATGTGGCATAGCAGCCCCTTTCTGCTTTAAGTATAAGTTTATTTTCTCCAAGGAATCAATACCTTGCTAGACCTTGGTCACAGCCTTAAAATAGAAAAGGTAAGCATGAGTCAAGAATATTATGGGATTTTCTGGTAGGTTTTTCTGATAGCTCAAAATCGTTATTTTGAATTTGGAAAGCTCATACCTTAGCAATTGTTAAGATAGCCATGTTCACTTTTTTCTCACTCTTATTTTGTCTCTCTCTAGGTTAATATCCAACACAGGTATTAAGCACTTGCCAGCTGTTCACAAGATTCAATCTCTCCAAAAGGTTCTACTGTAAGTTTTTCCTTGAGTATTTACCTAACCAATAGATGCTTGCCCAACAGCCACTGGGCCTGTAATATGTATTGTTTAGCCTACATCCTCCAAATATGTCACTCTGGGTAAGCAGAGGTAGTAAGGCCAAGAGCAAGCAACTTTGGTTTTACCTGAAAGCCAGCTAAGCTCAGTGTGGAGACAGAAGTCCCCTCAATAAGACTGTTATCAACACAACCAGTTTGTAGCAAATCAAGTAGTCTCTCCTTTCTTCACTATTTAGTGATTTACACGCCCTTCCTGCTACAACTACCCCACCACCCCAGTCTTTCCCCACCGTCACCTCTTCCCTCCAGAAATCTACTATACTAGGCATAAAGAAACCACTTGACAAACAAATTCACACTGTCAGCAAGATAAGCTATTTGCCTTTTCCCAAGACATCTGAATTTTTTTTTAATTTTTTTAACCTTTATTTATTTTTGAGACAGAGAGAGACAGAGCGTGAATGGGGGAGGGTCAGAGAGAGGGAGACACAAAATCTGAAACAGGCTCCAGGCTCTGAGCTGTCAGCACAGAGCCTGACGTGGGGCTCGAACTGACCGACTGCGAGATCACGACCTGAGCCGAAGTCAGACGCTCAACCGACTGAGCCACCCAGGCCCCCAAGACATCTGAATTTTTAAAGAACAGGGGGAAAAAGTGTGTAGTGCCAAGTGTATTTTCAATAGTGAAATTGTAAGAATCTGGAAATGGTAGGGAAGCGGTATAAGGAGCTAAGGACAAAGGGGAAAAGGGAGAGAAAAAGAAAATCTTAACATTTCTCAAATTGTTCTAAGCAGTTTACCACTTCTGTATACAGTTTATTTGTTAAATCTGACCCAACAGTCAAGCTTGATGGGAGGATGAGGGACACAAACCAAAAAATGAGACTTTCCCCACCCCTTCATTCAGGAAGAGAAAAATCAATGCTACAATTTTTCCTGTGACCCAGGTAGAAAAGGAGGTCAAGTGGCTGTGAGAGGGGAATTGAGACGGGAGGAAGATGAAGTCCCAACTATAAGGAATGGAGAAGTTTGGTTTGGAGGTGAAAGGTAGCTTTGGCATACTGAGCAGTCAAGGATAATAAAGGAGTCTCCTACAACTTTAACACAGTGAAATTAGCTAAGGAAATGTTCAGAGACAAGAGACTGCATGTCTGCAATTTCACTTTTAAGAACGGATATACTGAAGATAAATTAGAGGTCATTTATTTCCCTAACTTTGAACTCATCATCTTTCCAAACAGTAACTGTTCAAACATTGCCTCAGCTAAAGACCACATCATGCCAAGGAAATTAAATGCTGGAAGGTTACTTGAGTGGAGCTGGCATAAATACCTAATGTACCTGTTCTTTCTTCTAGAGACATTCAAGATAATATAAACATCCACACAGTCGAAAGAAATTCTTTCATGGGGCTGAGTTTTGAAAGTATGATTTTGTAAGTAAAGAAAAAAACTCCAATGGAGTAACATTTGGTTTTTCATTTAATCATCTTTTTCTTAACAGGATGCTCCTTTTGTGTTTAGGTAACTTTGGCATTTCACCATTTAAATTTCTGTCTGCTTCAGTATTTTTCTCTCATTTCCATCTTTGCATTTCAGAATCACAACATGGAGTCATGTTAATAATTTATGATTCTGTGGTGCGATTCAAGTATTTAAAATTGCTCTGTGAGTGATGGTCTCCTGTGATGCAACATCTGTTCTGAAGGACAGAAGAACTCATGCATCAATAAAGCTAGTTCTTGCCTGGCAAGGCTTTTGTTGCCCAGAGAAAAAGATCAAGAATGAGGCTGAATTCAAAAGATATTCTCTCATAACCATGCCAAGCAGCTCCTATTCAACCCCATGCTGGGCATAAGATGACTTCTCATTTTCTTGGAACAATCACGTTTTTTTAATGAGCCTGAGTTACTCCCTCTGACTTTTGGGAATGTTTTTAAATGCACTCTGTGCCATTGATGGACTACTTTGGAATCTTCTCTATTAGGAGCCAGTGTGACAGTTTACCCACTCCCCAAAATGGCCAAGAAATAGAGTGCTAGAGCCTACCCAAGAGTTTGTGGGACCCATGAAAGTTAGGTTAACAGAATGGCATTTGGGAAACTGGTAATTGCCATTACGTGTGTAAAGAAAGCATTTTATCCTTCCATTTCACAAATTGTCGCAATTTTTAAAAATATAGTAATGTGTGTGTCTGTTTGTCTTTAAAATATGTCATTATGTACAAAAGGTAAGTTCCAGCCAAGAAAGAATTTTAGTCATTTTCAAAGCAGCAACATGATTCAGTGACTACTCAGCAATACAAAAAAGGAAAGGGGGAAGAAACAGAGATGAGGAAATATTGAAGGTTAAAGCTAGGCACAGCATTTGATGTAAATTAATTACAAAGAACAACAGAAAGGTTTCAAAGAGACTAGTGGAGGAATTGCAAGTGTGAAGGAAAAAATAAAATTGAAGGCATGTATTACAACAAAAATTTTTAGTGAGTCCTACCTAAGCCTTGCTTTTAATACGCTGATGATATTCAGAATTTATGTACACATGTATTGAAATGAGTTGATGGGGTGTGGGAAATATGAGTGAAGGAGAGAGCAAAATAAATGAATTAAAATATAAACAGAACTAAAAGTGTGCAAAATAAAAGCAACTATTCTAAGACTGAAGAAGGATTAATTTATTCCGACTGGCGTGTGATGTGAGGGTTGAAGGAACAGTTTAATGAGGGAAAGGTGGCTGAGAAAGGAAGTTGCGTCTAAGATAGGCTTTAACGATAAGTGGGATGTAGCCAGGCAAAGAGCAAACAGAAGAAACAGAATCATCAAGGATATGAAGATTAAAAAGAAAAAAAAAAAAGGAATACGGGAGATAGAAGGAAAAGGGGAAAATAGCAAGCACCTTAGTAACATCAGCCTGGCGGGTTAGAGCACAAACAACAGTGAATGGACTGCCGTGCTACATATGGAAGGAGACTAGTGATAAAGGTCATCAGTTGTCCCTGGATATCTGTGCTTCTTTAAAACTTGCCTTGGGGCACCTGGGTGGCTCAGTCGGTTAAGCCGCCGACTTCAACTAAGGTCATGAGCTTGCAGTCCGTGAGTTCGAGCCCCGCGTTGGGCTCTGGGCTGACAGCTCGGAGCCTGGAGCCTGTTTCCGATTCTGTGTCTCTCTCTCTGACCCTCCCCTGTTCATGCTCTGTCTCTGTCTCAAAAATGAATAAACGTTAAAAAAAATTTTTTTTAAATAATAAAAAAATAAAACTTGCCTTAACACAGGTGTCATTTTTAAATCTAGTGATTCAAAGTCACTTAATATTATCATGTGGCAAATCTATTAACAGAATATTTTATAAAAATGTATCATTAAGTGCGAGTGTGCTGATATTTCCACTGTTTTCTACTTTGGCAAGCCATTATTTTTGTCTAGAACACAAGACAGAAGAGCATACTCTCCCAAAAAGGAGAGCTTTCTTGAGAGTCAATACTTCTCAGACATATCTCTAAAGGATAAGTTCATTTTTGTGAGAACAAAATCTTTTCTTGACCTCAGATGGTCCTTACCCATAGATAATAGAATCAGAAAATTCATACTCAACACAGATTAACACTCCAGTTTTTCTTAATTTGGGTGCTACCTCTAGGATGCAGGGCTACTTTCTCCCCCTATGAATATTCAGAAAAGGAAGCATGGCAAAATGGCATGGAGGACTGATAACATTTTCTATGCACTGGCATTTTTCAAAATACTGACACCCTGTTCTAAAAATACCTTTATTGTACATATACAACATACATATAAATATTACACACACACATTTTTTTTCAAACAACCCAGTAATAAAGGATTATCAAATACTTGGCTAGTGACTCAGAGGAAAATGAGTGATTAAATGTCCACCATGTTGAGGCCTCTGAGCCCCTTCCCACCCCTACCCTGCAACCAGAAGGTCTGAATGAAAACACCTAGCCATGGCCAATTAGCAGAATGGCCTCAGATTTGGGGAAAAATTAAATGAGGCTACAGGTCTATCAGCTCCCACACATCCCAGCCATAGAAAAGGCTCACTCCATGTGCATTTCCTCTCTTCCTCAACCGGTTTCTATCTCTCTCGCCTACCCCAGGGAGCTTTAATAGGCCAGGTCACCCCCAGCATCTTCACTCTTCAGGCTGAGGGCAATTTCTGCTTCTGGAGCTCCTGAGCCTCTACCAAAGCTACCTATGTGTAAAAATTCGAGAAAACCATGATCCAGTTATTCATTAGTCAATACGGTGCCCAGATTGTCCTTGTCGTCATCATCATCAGGCTTTAAAACGACCATTGTCTCTCTTAAGAGGCTAAGAGTTATACTTCATAAGTGTCAGCTTCTTGTTGTTAGTGGCTGAGTGCTACCACCTCATGTAAATCCCAGGGCAGAGGTTCTGGGCATCACTTGGTTTTTGTGTAAAGATCCATTGTTGACATCAAAAAATTCTACCCTCTCCCCATATGATGGTATCCATTAAGAAAAGTCCATAAAGACAAAGGGTTACTTCAAATACAGTAATTCTTCTAAATTAGCCTCTATGATATGTAATCATAACAACATCTATTTGCAGGAAATATATGTACAGAAAATACTATCTTGTGTTCAGAAACATAGTTGGAGCCCATCTGGATTTACATACCCCTTGTGTTAGATGAAGGGTCAGCCAAACCTGGACCATAAATTAGTACAAGTTTTTAGAAGTGAACATTTTGATTGCAGGGAACATTACCATTGAAAGTAAGTTAAGTAAGGGGCGCCTGGGTGGCGCAGTTGGTTAAGCGTCCGACTTCAGCCAGGTCACGATCTCGCGGTCCGGGAGTTCGAGCCCCGCGTCAGGCTCTGGGCTGATGGCTCAGAGCC